CTGTAAGTACGTTTTTTTTATATTTAAAGAGTTTTTATTTTTTATATTTTTTATATTTAAAGCGAGTTTTTTGGGCAGTGTAGAGTAGTGCTTGTTGTTTGTCATTTCTCCGATCACAAATGCAGACATGGTTTTATGTTTACGCGGCGCGATGCGTCATTATAATCTGTAATTATGTCCCCACTGGATGCAACGAATGCCTCGTTTATAATGGGTTTTCATGTTTTTGAATCATCGCTCCGGCCTGACAGGGCGTCATCACAGTATGGTGAGGGGCGTAACATTTCCGTCACACGCTTGAGGTATTCGGCCAATCACAACGCACTGGATAGCTGGCCAATCAGAGCACACCTCGCTTTTCAGACCGATGAGCTTTGTAAAAATCGACGCGTTTCAGAAAGGCGGGGCATAGAGGAGAAACAATAATGTACAGTATGTGGAAAATAATGTGTTTTTTGAACCTTAAACCGCACAAACACATTTCATTACACCAAATACACAAAATAATGTTCTTTTCATATGACCCCTTTAAGATGGTGCTGCTCATAGCTTTAGTAACAGCCAAGTGTGTGAGTGATTTACATGCTTTGTCTGTTAGCCCGTCTTATTTGCAGTTCGCTCCAAGGCTCACTAAGGTTTCCTTTCGCCCTAACCCTGCTTTTGTGCCTAAGGTAGTTGACTCAGCATATAGGTGCCCATCTACTGAACTGGCAGCTTTTCACTCTCCTCCGTTCTCTTCTCCGGGGGAGCAGAAGTTGAATTTATTATGTTCGGTACAGGCTCTTCATATGCATGTGAAAAGAACAGCAGTTTCAGGACTCATGACGGGCTGTTTTGCTCTATGTTTGCAAGGACCTTCAACCACCTAAGGGCTTGAGAGCCAACTCCACATGGGGTATGGCTACATCGTGGGCCTTACTCAGGGGAGATTATGGTCAAGATATTTTTTCAGCAGCTAGTTGGGTTACGCCACATACTTTTGTGCGGTTCTATAGACTGGACGTGTCTGAGCCATCCTTAGCACATGCAGTGCTGGGAGCCGGTAGGTCTGTGCCCATATAATTGTAATGGGTGATAGCAGTGAAATGGGTGCAATCCGGGAGTGGTCTATATCTCCCATAGTGAAACAGTTAGAAAAAGAACGATGGGTTACTTAACGTAAACCCGGGTTCTTTGATAACAGAGTGAAGTGTTTCACAAGCACTTCCCTCCTTGCATAGGTACGGGAAGAAATCTCTCTATAATGACTTTGGCAGGGGTTGACCAGGCTGATATAGGTGGGGCGGAGCCTGATCACAGGTCGACCTGTGTCAAAGGGTTTACGTTAAGTAACCCATCGTTTCTGTAAGGGTGTGTGTCCGTAGTACTGTATGTGTGTGCGTCTGTATGGGAGAGAGAGTGGGAGAAAGAGATGTGTTTTCCATACATAAAACGTAATTTTTAAAAACATGGAAATAATTTGTAATTTTTATCCTATTGTTTAATAAATTTATATGCTGGGTCATTGTCATTATGGGTTTTGGTTATTTTCCTGTAAGTACCTTTGAAATAACTGAAATCATTTAGTGAAGTGAACATGTACTAACTCCATGTGGAAACAGATTGTCCAATGACCACATGGAGCAAGTCCTCTTCTTTCATTACAACAGAAAGTTTTGCTCAAACCTATGAGTTTTAATTGAATCAACAGTTTGAATGCACATTTAGTCTTTCATTAGATATGCCAAATGCTGCCAACAGACTAACTGCAATACTTCAGAAAATTTAATTTAGCAGTGAATGTGCAAAAATATGCAAATTTGTTTTCTGTATTTTTCTGTTGTGTTTTTGGTTTCATATTAGCAGAGCATTTAGTTTCAGCATAGATACAACTACATGACATTTTCTTAAATTTTATATATTGTGCATCTGATAGATATAATTTGCATCATATCCATAATACAAATAAGTATTTTTGATAATATTGCTTTTACTTGACTTTATTTACATATGTGACCTTGAAGAAATGCAAAAGTAATCAGATTACATTACTTTCATATTGTGGTGCTTGGATTGCGTTACTGAATCCTTTTTTCATTAATTAATTTGTAACTGTAATGGAATACATTTTTAAAGTAACCCTCCCAAGCCTGTATACACTACTATTCAAATGCCTGGGGTCTGTAGGATTTTTAAAATGTTTTAAAAAGAAGTCTTGTATGTTCACCAAGGCTGCATTTATTGGATCAAAAATACAGTAAAAACAGTAATATTGTGAAATATTATTATATTTTAAAAGAACTGTTTTATATGTGAATATATTTTAAAATGTAATTTATTCCTGTTATGCAAAGCTGAATTTTCAGCAGCCATTACTTCAGTCTTCACATAAGAATATTGTGAAATATTATTATATTTTAAAAGAACTGTTTTATATGTGAATATATTTTAAAATGTAATTTATTCCTGTTATGCAAAGCTGAATTTTCAGCAGCCATTACTTCAGTCTTCACATAAGAAACATTTCTTATTGTTATCGATGTTGAAAGTTTTTTATCTTTTCACATTTCTACAGCAGTATTTTTTTCAGGATTCTTTGATGAATAGAAAGTTTAAAAGAACAGCATTTATTTGAAACATCTTTTGAAAAAAAAAATCCTTTGTAACATTAAAGATGTTTTTACTGTCACATTTGATTAATGTAAAGGGGACATCGGATGCCCATTTTCCACAAGTTGCCATGATTCTTTAGGGTCTTCATGAAATGTCTGTAACATACTTTCGTTAAAATTTCTCAATGGACGTGTAAAACAACAGCCTTTTTATCTGGTCAAAAACAGCTCTGTTCAACAGTGACCCATTTCGGTGCATGTCTCTTTAAATGATAATGAGCTACTGCTCCCCCCACCCCTCTCTTCCATGGGGCGTGTCGACACGAGACACAGAAAGTGCTGCCTTGGACTCTGTATATGGCTCGGAGGTGGTCTCATTCAAATAGCTGTCTATCTACATAGAAACCGGCTGCAAATTAAAACAGCTCGCTGGATGACACAGTTTTAGACCCAGACAGCCCATAACAAATTGGCTGCTTGTTTTCTTTTCAGCTTTTCCGAGCAGGCAGATATGCCAGAAACCTACCTAAATAAAAAAAAGCTAAAAAAGTGAAAATTTCATCCGATGTTCCCTTTAATGCATCCTTTTTTTAATAATAGTATTAATAGTTTTACAAAAAAGACCCCAAACCTTTGAAAGGTAGTACCGTATTGGCCCGAATATAAGACGACCCTAATTATAAGACGACCCCCCCTTTTTCCAGATGTACCTTTTGGAAAAAGGCTTTTTAAAAACCACATCTTGTTTTTTCTCAGTAAAACACATTTTGTCTTCAATTATTATCATATTGCATATTTGTCCTATTTTATTTTTTGTTTTGAAAGTATGGTAAAAATTGGTAAAATGTACCAACAATCACATTTAAAAAATATACACTTTTTGATATACCATTAAAAAAAAAAAAAAACGGTAGTCCATCTGAATTAGGACATTTAGGCTATCCATCTAATAGTAGCCTACCAAAATCTTATTAAGAGTAGAAGTTAAATCTTACTGTAGTCTTCAAATCTGGGTACTGTCTTACGTTTTAAAATCACAAAGGGAGTTTGGTCCCATCAGGCTAACGTGACAGTCACGACTCATGCAGCTGTAAGGTTTTCTTTTTCTTTTGTTTTTACTCGCGATCTTTACAACACGCATTACATTACGTATTTCATGGCACACTCGTTTTATGCGTATTTGGTGCCACCTATCGTTGTGGGTGTATTATTGACACGTCAAAGTCTAGACCCTGAATATAAGACGACCGCGTTTTTTCAGATGTATTTCCAAGAAAAAAACATCGTCTTATATTCGGGACAATACGGTATATGAACCAGTTTTATAAAAGGTAACAGTCAAGTGCACATCATTTAAACTGGATTAAAGAAATCATAACATCACACACCTTGAGGGCCAGGCAGTAGTCAGTGGGGGCCTTGTACTTGCTCCGGTAGTCCTGACCATAATAAACATTAACATGGTCCAACTGCAGGAAGCACACCAAATCCCTTGAAGCCTACAGTGATCAAAATAAACATATTAATATTGTTTCATGTTTATTACGGTCTGTTGTCAAATTTGGATAGTTTATTCGTCATAGCTTACAGTGATCAAAATTGAGAAGATAAAGGCAAACAAAAATAATTCTATATACTCATGGTACCAAGCAGAAGCAAATAGCCAGGATCAACCACAAGAGGATATCAGTGAGTCTGTGCCAAAGCATATTACATACAGACAAGCCCATGACCTTAAAATGTCAGAGAATTTAATACTAACATGAAACAATTGTTCACTTGTGACTGATTTCAAATTGTATAAGAACATGAAAATTCTATAAGAAAATAAGGCATGGGGGTCTCTCTGGGAATTAAAGCCCCATTATTTATTGTAAGTGGATGACAAACAGCATATGGTTTGTGTAGAGTATCCTCAGAGAATCCATAAACAGGAAATTCCACTTGAGTTCATTACGATCTGTGTCCATTTAATGGGAACATGACACCAAATCATATGATAAGACAAAAACACTCACACACACAATAACACTGACCTTGGCTTTGCCCTTCGGCACAAAATAGATGCCAGATGCCCTCAGAAGAAAGTAGCGCTTCTTCCAAGACTTTTTGCCATCCTCCTTCAACCACAACACTCCCTCGATTTCAGGAACAGACACTGAGCTTCCACAAAAACATTCCTTCAAGACATACAGATACAAAATACTTCATCACACTGTCAGGCATTCTGAAATTTGATCTTTATCTTTAAACTCTGTCGGACATCACAACCAACACTTCCAAATTAACATTATAGTGATAAAGGCTTTGGGTCACACTAACTAACTGTGTGTATGTATTTGCATGTTAAACAAGGAAAAAAATCAGTTTATGCACAGCAGGCAATGAGTGCGTTTACATGCACGTTCTTAAGCCGATTATGCTTAATAAGCCGAAAACGCACTTGGTCATGTAAACGCGGTAACCCGTTTTCTTTTATCGGAGTAAGGTCATAAACGGCGTAAGCATAAACGCGTCGCAACAGGTAGTTTTTTGCCTCTTACTCAGATTTTGCACGGCATGTAAACGCAATAACCCGCTTTCTGTCGGCTTATTGAAGTGCGCATGTGTGATACGTGACAGGAGAAGAAGATTTGGTTCAGTCAAAATGCAGCGTTACTGAC